CAGATCAGTGCCTGGACACAGACCAGGTACTCCCCACCTGCCCAGGGCAGGATCGACATCCACACCTCTGTTGTCCTCATCATTACGTTCCTGCTCCTGACGGTGCTTCTCTTCAATCTTTCACAAAACACAGTGAAAATAAGAGAGTGATCGACAATGTCAGTTGAGTTAAAGTTCACTTCTCAGCTAAAACTAAAAAAGCTTAACACAATTTAAGTGTCACAGCTTCAATGGTCAGAATCCGGTCCAAACAGCTCAAGAGTAATGCTGAGCTGTAGGTCAGTTAAGAAGACATTTATCTTCAACATTCAGCCAGGAAACTTTTAAGATATGAAGAATTCTAGACAGAGTTTGGTTCAATTGTTACAGTGACAGCTCTTCTGGTTCAGAAAGCCGGGGATCATGGGTAATATCCACTGTTCAGTTGAGTTTCATTTCACAGACATGTGGCTGCAGAGGGTGCTGCTGCTCAGTAAAAGTTACAGAGTGTCTCATTAATGTTACATGAAGCTAAAATATGTTTATCTCAGTGTTTCAGAGATTCCTCCGTTGTTGGTTTAAAGACTTAAAAATGCTATGACCTGAATGACTTACCTTGGCCAGATTGAACTCTTTAGTGGCAACGGCTTCTGCTCTTCTCCTCTCCATCTCCAGGCTCTGAAGCTGCAGAGCTCTGTTGTCCATCTCTAATCTCATTTGATCGTCTCGCTGCTCTGGAGGCCAGAGGGGAGAAAGTGAGCTTATATTTCCTGTGTTTGAGCCGCGGGTGTGTTTCCTCAATGGGCTCAGACAAACCTACCTTCTAGCGTTTGCTGGTGCCTCTCTGCCGCCTGCTCGCTCTGCTGCTGGATGAGCCACTCTCTTAACTGCTCCCTCTGCCTCTGCAATCGTTTCTCAATCTCTGGGTCTTCACCCACAAAACCAGGGGGCATCGTCTGTGCATCTTCTGTGCCTGTTGTTCTGTGGTCTGTGTTGTTCAGGTCAAACATCTGCTGGCTCCGAGGCTGCTGGTGCTGCTGCCAGTAGTTGACAAGGTCCATTTGCATTGCACGCTTCTTCATCTCTTCTCTGTGATGGAGAATGTCAGCTACTTTGCTATTATGGAGAACTTCAGCATCTATAATAGAGATTGAGAATTTTACAAAACATTATGATATAACATTTTCTAAATTTAAATGGCAGTGCTGTATACCACACAGATGTTCAAAATAGAAAACTCC